CTCTTTCTCCTGTGTGCCTAGTGCCCGAGGAAGGCAGAGAGCCTGTCATATCTCCTGGAACTGGAGCTACGGATAGTTGTGAGAGGTCATGTAGGTGCTGGGAATTGAACTAGATCCTCTGCAAGAGCAGCAAGTGCTCTTAACCACTGAGCAGAGCCATTGATCTAGCCCTTACAGCTGTTTTTTCTAATCATCTCTTAATATCCTATAATTCTTAGGTGATCGCACGCTAGACCCTCTCGGTGTGCTCCCCCTGCTGTCTTTTACCCTCCAGCTCCGATCCCCTCTTCTTACTCATTTCTCAGAAACCACTTTCCTCCAGGGAGCCCCCTGCCACCCCGCCATGTTTCTTCTCCCTCCCCTAAATGTCCTCCTCACACCCCACCCTCCTCACTTTCACTGAAGGCTGTTCGACTCTTTATTTTGTGTGTTCCAGATCCCCAGCAGGGTGTTTAGCGGATTCTGGTGATACAGCTGAGAACACCTACATGCCAGACCCTGTAGTGAGGCATTTGAGGCTCCTGCCACACCTATTCTTATTCAATGGATAGTAAAACAAACCTGGGAAGGCTAAGAGTCTTGCTCTGGTCACCAACCAGCCAATGATGGAATTGAAATGGATCTAGGGCCTGGGCTAGTGGGCTACACAACCAGGTCAGCCACCATTTTTCAGCTCATTCCATCTCATGCCTCCCACCGGGATCTCCCAGACACTGCAAGGGGCCCCTCCTTTGGACTCTAGGAAAGAAACTGTAGGGGCATCCCTGCCTTCTCCCTTGTTAGCTGTTACTTCCCCCTTGGCATGAAATCATAGGTCATGAGTTCTGGCCTGTCACTGTCAGTGGGGATTTCCAGACACTGGGAGGGAGGGGATTTGGAAATGCATGTCAGAGAGGCATGAGGAGAGGGACAGAGATGCAGAGTGGGACCCTTAGACAGCCAATGGCAATTTCCAGAAATCCCAGAAGAGGAGGCAGAAGAAGTTAATAACATCCCAGACAACCTTAGCCCGGAAAGATGGACCTACTCCAAGGAAGGCTAGACCAGGTTTGGTAGTACACAACAGTCAACTCAGCACTTTGGATGCCAGGGCAGAAAGAGTGTAAATTTAAGGCGAGCCTGGACTACACAGTACTATCTCAAAACAAAAACAAAACAAAAAGGTTGGCAGGGGGAGGGGGGAGG